AGTTTTTTAAGTTTATAAAAAATACTTTGTATATTAACCATCTCGTACATCTGCCTTGCTCTTACAATACCAGTATTGTCTGACTGCATGGATCACAGTGCACATCTGCCTGACTCTTACAATACCAGTTAGTGTCTGACTGAATGGATCACAGTGTACATCTGCCTTGCTATTACAATACAAGTATTGTCTGACTGCAATGGATCACAGTGTACATCTGCCTGACTCTTACAATACCAGTAGTGTCTGACTGCATGGATCACAGTGTAGATCTGCCTTGCTATTACAATACTTGTAGTGTCTGACTGTATGGATCACAGTGTACATCTGCCTGCATTGCTCATACAATACTTGTAGTGTCAGACTGCATCACAGTGTACTTAAGCCTTGCTATTACAATGCATGTAGTGTATGACTACAAGAATCACAGTGTACATCTGCCTGACACTTACAATACTTGTAGTGTCTGACTGCATGGATCACAGTGACATCTGCCTTGCTCTTACAATTCCTGTAGTGTCTGACTTGTAACATGGACCACAGTGTACATCTGCCTGACTCTAACAATACTGGTAGTGTCTGACTACATGGATCACAGTGTACATCTGCCTTGCAATTACAGTTCCAGTAGTGTCTGTAGTGTCTGACTACATGGACCATGTGTACATCTGCCTTTCTCATACTATACTAGTAGTGTCTGACTACATGGATCATGTTTACATCTGCCTTTCTCTTACTATACTAGTAGTGTCTGACTTCATGGATCATAGTGTACATCTGCCTGCATTGCTCTTACAATACTAGTAGTGTCTGCCTACATGGATCACAGTGTACATCTGCCTTGCTATTACAATTCCAGTAGTGTCTGACTGCATGGAACACAATGTACAACTGCCTGGCACTTACAATACTAGAAGTGTCTGACTTCATGGATGACAATGTACATTTGCCTTGTTCTTACAATACTAATAGTGTCTGCCTGCATGGATCACAATGAACATCTGCCTGGCTCTTACAATACTAGTAGTGTCTGACTGCATGGATCACAGTGTACATCTGCCTGACTCTTTATAGCCTGGCAAAACTGCTGTATATATTACAAGCTTAAGGTAACAAGTAAAATTTGCAGAAAAATCAGCAAATTTCTGAAGAATTGATCAAATACTGAACATTAATAAGGCATTTTAATGGCCATGTTAAATAGGACTGAATCATTACAATTATTTAAAATCTGGTTAAAACATTTGTCATGTGCTGTTCGAACCAATTAAAATGCTTAAGAATGTAACCACTTGCTAAAATTCTATTTTCAAGTTTATAAGTAAGGTAAATCCAGGTGAAATTTTCATCAAATGTATGTCGATAGTATAAGACTGGTTACACATCAGATGACATAACAATATGTCAGAAACTGTGATGATTATCACATCATTATTTCAGTGATGACTTAAACATATCCAAACACTAGTTTGCCATTTAATAGAGGGAAAATGATAAAAATTGAGTTTATGTATACAGAATATCTAAACTCAAGATTTGCTAAATACAAAACCATGGCTGCAACAAACTGAATAATATTTTTTTCTTCATTTATTGGAAAAATCATATATATAGACAGTTATAACTTACGTGTACTTATTGTTTTTTTTATTCAGCCAAAATCTCTTTTTACATTTTATATCATTTATAGGAATTGCAAAATGTCTCAACAACATGTACATCTAACATAGTTTTACCAAAGTTTCATTATGTGTGACCAAATTTGATAATAATATACAATCCTTATAATATCTATTTTTTTTTTTCATTGAATATCTATAATAGATATAATTAACTCCATATCTTCACTTACTTTGTTTGGAAAGTAAAGGCTGAGATCTGTTTGAAATTTACTTTATCACATTTTTTGGTAACATTTTGCATTTAAGTAGAAATATGGTATGACCTTGACCTTTAAATAATTTCTACAATAAAAAAATTAAATAATAATTAAAATCTGTCATTTAAAAAAAAATCAAAATTTTTCAAATAAAAAAAATCAGAATTCTCTTTTTCAAATTATTACAAGTATTGACCTTGACACATGACTGAATTTTATTTAATTTCCATGCATCAATCTTTATACTTCTTCTTACTGCCCAAAATAATGTTTTATTATTCTTCTTTTTCTAACACATTATTAAATGCCAAGAAGTCAGTTATTGAGTTTTTGCAATATAACCTTGAGAAAATTCTATTATCAAGACCACATCTGTTCATAGATAATAATTGCTCAAATGTAGATCTGGGGAACATAATTGTTTGTTATGATTTGAAATAAGAAAAGTTTTGACTTGTGTCTGATAGAAATCCTTTAACCAGAGCTGCAATATGCCTTCAAGTATAGGTATTGGTGAAACAGATCTCAGGGAGATAAACAAAAACTTTGATAAGTATCAAAACAGTTCATGGCCACTCTTAAAAGTGCATTTTTGCTTCTTCTGACCCAAAACATTAATTCCAAGTTAGTGGATCTATTTTACATATAATAAACATACTAACGTCTTACTATTAGTATAAAATTCCACAAACCTAGTGATGAAAGAAAACAAAAAAATGAAATAAAGTATGCATTTCAATACAGCATCTTATATTTTTTTCAACAGGACGGACAGTTTCACTATTCTCAGTGCTTGATTGTATGTATAAGTGCCTGGATAATGTAACAATTTCTGAATAAAAAGGTTCCGTAATTAGAATTTCTTTCCATCAATCTTGCAAAAAATCATTTTTTTGCCAAAAAAATGTCAGACTGCCAGGATTTGGGTCAGTCAGATTCAAGTGGCAAACAAATAATATCTTATTTAAGACCTAAATCATCATTAGAAGAGAAGACTTGATGTTTTAATGCTTTAGATCAGAAAATGTCAAGAACTTGAAAGTGAAGAAGAATGATAATTTTGCTATATTGAAGCTCAGGAAAGATATTGATCTACATGTATGAGCATTTCACCAGATGTCTTTATTAATTTATCTGCCTTTATTTTTATTGACAAAATTATGAATCATTATACATACTGAGAAAAAAAAATGATTTAAAAGTTTAAAAGGGTAAAAAGAAGCTTTTCTTTTTATTGATATGTGTTCCCCCAATTACACACATTGCATTGCCCAATTAAAGCAGTAACATTCAAGTAAACATGGTGCAAGGTTAGATCCATTTTGCCACTTCCTGGCACATTATTGCAGTATTTTTTCTTTGATTTTGCAATTATTTCATCTTACAAAAAGGCATTCTTGATGCTCTGCATTTACATAACAGCAAAAAAAATGTCAGAATATGTGACATTTACCTTGATGACATTTTCGATTACATAATGCACCAGATGTATGCACTATGTTCTCATAGAGACAATTGGGACAATTACATCTTGATTTAATTAACCAGCAGTTAAAAATATTTTTTACTTTTCTCAAGGTCATGAAGATTTGGGAAAAAAATCTCAATTTTTTTTTTTTCTTTTCAAATCAAACCTATAATTGTCTCAATATAAATAATCAAAGGCAGTTATAATGGTAATAACCATAAGTCTGCAGAAACACTCCATATTCTCCAGGAAGGCAACACAAAAGGTCAAAGGTTAACCGTCACCTGTAAATATCATGATTATTACTCATAACCTTTTACCCCCATCATAAAGATAATGAAAACATATGACAGTGCAATAAAAACAACAATATTATGCCTCATGCTATGAAAATCTCAGCAATGGCAATTAATCTGGAGAACAGGTTCTTCCAATTAAGTTCAAATATCAGTTATATTTGAGAATAATGTTATTTATTTATGTGCATTAAATAAAAAATCCTTGTAACTGCATACAAGTCGTGAAGAGATTTAAGGAAACATCAACATTACTGGTGTACTTGCTATCTTGATTTAAAATTATTCTCAAGGACAGCTGTTGTTGTTTTTTTTTTTTTTTTTTTTACACTTTACATCTATCTTAAAAGTGCACATCACATATATGTATAAGTGCTTTTTATATCAGTGACAAGGATTTTTTTAATTCATACCTGCAAAACTATACTCCTAATCTAAAGCAAGGTTTTAAAGGAAAGATTACTTAAGATAATATGAGAATCAGAGAATGTTTCTAAAAAAAGATCAACTGAACTATATGTGATAATATTACATGTACATTGATCTCAACTCTCTGTCAAAAAAAGCTCAGCGTCATCTTTATGACCATTAAGAGTTCCACTCACTAATGAATTAACTTGCACTTTAAGCTCTTTTGAGTTATAACAGTGTTGTGATATAACATTAACCTCATTTCACTCTAATCACAATTATACAATACCTTCAGGACAACAATGACTATCGATGATATAATATAAAAGCTTTCCAGCAGAAAAAAAGATAGGTATCTTAATCAGGGGAAGTTCTGGTATCACTCAATACACAGGTATCTGATCAATTAAATCTTCACATTATAAATAATGGTTGTAATGACAACATTTTACATGTATAACCAGATAAGGTTAAAAAGAATTTTCCTTAATTTGCTCAAACTCAGATCTCAGGTATCTGATTGGTCAGAAACCAGCACAAAATGTATATTGACCAATGAAAATCCTGAGAAACGAAACAGAACTCAGAATGAAAGTTTTAAAATCTTGAAGTCAGGCCGGTCTAAACTCAAAACTGTTGCCATCTGACCAAACATTATAATATATCAAAAGGTTAAGTTTTGGTATTTTAATACTGAAATTACTACAATTATCAACAGACAGTTTAAATTCTAAGCCGGAAAGAACAAACAATACACTATTACATGAACCTCGGAGTATGTGGGTTTTTCCCTTTCTCGGGAAACAAACAAACTTTTACAGTTACAACAAGGTAAATATATCAATGAAAAGCCCAACACATTGATATCTATTGTGAGAAGTAGTGCACGTGCTGACTGGCATGCATTTGCTTGAATAGCAGTCTAAAATAGGCAGTAATATCTTACCATATTGGTTGAGTCAGCCATACTAACTTGTTCTCTGGAATGGTGGCTTGGAACTTTCATAGCTCAAAACAGAACGTCATCCATAGCAGCTTAATTCTTCTCAAAACTGAAATAGAGAAGAAACAATACCAAAATATAAATGATGGTTATATCTGATTCATAGCAGTTTATAATTCTTCTCAAAACAAAAATAGAGAAATGATACCAAAGCTTTAGTAAAATGTCTATGATTCATTATGGCTTAATTCTTCTCTCAACTTATTGTGAACTTTATAATTAATACATAGCTCTAATTTCAATTCTTCTTAAAGGTACTCAACTTAAGAATTGTTAAAGGAAAGATTTCCTGGCAAATACTCAAAGAATTTCACAGTAATCCATGGCCTTGAAGAAAGCTATTCAACCAGAGTGCAAACTTCACAAGTCATAATAAGACATATTCTTCTGTGGTACTCATTTGTATAATTCAACATAACACCTTAAATTAAGCTAATAGTTTAGTTGCCAAAATAGCTCCAAAATCAAAATAAACTTTGGTAATGCCTGATGCTGGTTGCTCCAGATTAAAGACACAGCTACAGTTATTGCAAAAGCAACAAGTTACTAGAAATTCTGCAGACTGCAATAAGTAGGTTAAAACATAGGGGCAGATATAAACATAGACAACCTTGAAAGTTGACACAGATTCCTTATCTTATCTTAAACAGTGTCATCATGACATCTGTACAGGTGGTCCATCATTTATCATGTGACATATTTAAAGGCACAATGACGGAACAATGGTGAATAAATTTGACTAATGAAAATATTCATTTGACAATATAATACAGTGTTAACTATTGGCTGCCTACACAGCTATGCAGTATGATGGCATACACACTGCCACTCTAAAGGCTTCAAAAGATATTCAAATCATACATAGTATTAATGCAATATAAAATTCTATGTTTTTTTTTACTACAATAAATGCAAGATTACTACTACTGAACTTCAATTTTAAAAAAAATGCCATAAATTGTTTTGTAATAAAACAAAGAATTTTGCTCCTGTACTATTAGTGATTATAATGGTGTTATCAAACAGTTTTAACATTGAACAGATAATAAAGCCCATTTATACGTGACATGGGGCATATCAATGCATCATTGCATGTAAAACATACAAAATAATAAACTAGAAACAGTCTTCATCAGTTCTAAGAGTACATTCTATTCTATATCTATCAATAACATAAAATTTGCCAAAAAAAAATTATTGTCAAATCATACAAAATGTATGGAAAATAAATGAATTATCTTTCAAGTATCATAAGTACAGTGATATTTGCCATCTGTTTCGATCATGAGTGAAGATAATTTGGGTGCCAGTTTTTAACTTCTGTTTTTTTTCTTCATAATAATGTTACAGAATACAATATTGTGTGGGCATCTATTATAATGAAAAGACTGAACCCTAGTACAAGTACTTCCTCAAAACAGCCGAAAGCTACCAAATAAACTCATTGTTGGCAAAATTAATAGACAATATTAAAGTTAATTTAAACTTAAGGTGTCTATGTTCAACATTTGGTCTATCAGTCTATGAAGTGCAAGTTCAAAATCTTTGGCATAGCAAATATGTTACTAAGAACTGTTCAAGTACAAGAGAATATAGATATCAAAATATGAGACCTACAAGATCAACAACGCTGAGAAACGCACACATATAATGCAGCTCCCACAATAATATGGAGCACAGAGCATTCTGAAGGGGGACCAAACAAGGAGGGTTAAAGAAACAGGATGTGAGGTGGGAGGGGCTAAATAAACTAGCATTAAGTGTGATCAGCCATATTGGATATTTCCCTGGTAACAATTGAATTTAGTAGTCAAGGTGAAAGGAGATGACTGTTTACTCACAGAAAAACTGACAGAATGCTGGAACCATTGTTGTAAACACTGCATGCTTACCAAAACTGACATATCTACCAAATACATGTTAACTTACAATACAATTTTTTGCGTCTCTTCAATCCAAAAAGAACATAGATAACCTTTTTGAGGCATCTTAAAATTCTTCTAAGACATTAAGTTCTGCAGAATTGTCATTACCGTATTTAAGTGTATAATAAATTATTCTACGCTCAAAAAACATTTTGTTTTTAAGTAGATAGAAAGGGCAATAAATTACAGTAAACAGTGGAGTAATTCGTAATTCTGATCAGATTAAAAATAGAGGAAACAGCTGCGTCCCTCCTCAATTCTAATAATTTAAAGGTTACAATAAAAAAAATACTACTATCTTTTACAAGTTCATTATATAATTACATCATATTAACATCACTGCAATATTCTATATTATCGCAGAAAATCAAATTAGTGAATTCAATGATATCGCAACACATGTTTATTTCATCATGAAATGATGTTGTTGTTGGTTCAGAAAGAAATTCGCAATCAGAAACAAGATTGCATTTGAGAAAAATGCTATGCCACCGCATTAATACAACACTAAATAGTAGTGTAGGAACAGATTTTTTTTGTTTCTTTACAATATTGAAGATTGTCATAAAGCATAGATCCCTGACCTATCTTATTCTTATTATCAGATAAGTGGTTAAATCTAATGTTAACTCAATAAAAGATCAGAGTAGGAATGTATCAATGCACTCGAGTCTAGTGAATTTGGCGGTGAAGGTCATATTTCACACAGCCTTAATTTCATGACTACATCAAAAGGACAACACAGTAAGACACTTTGTCAAAATCTAGGTCAGCTGAAATCAAAGTTTACTTTACATCTTAATCTGTGCACAGGGTTCAAATTTCATAGCTGTACATCAAAGGACCAGAAAGTAGGTCACATCAACAAAATCTAGGTCACCTGATATCAAAGTTCAATTTTACAACTAAAACTGTGCACATGGTCAAAATTTCATTGCTGTACATCAAAGGACAAGAAAGTAGGTCACTGTCCCCTTGGGCAAGGCAAAATTTTGGACCCAAGGGTTTAATTCAAAACAATCTTGATACAGGTCCACCAAACAACATTTCAAGTCAAATATCTAAGCTGTAGCTTTCTCCCATTCAGAAAACATTTGTTTTATTTTCTGTTTTTAATATGTGTACATAATGAGAATCACTGCCCCTGGGCAGCACCAATTTTGACACCAGGGGAAAAATTTGAACAACTTTAGTAGAGGACCTATAGATGATATTATATAGCAAACATCAAAGCTCTATCCCTTGTTCCTTCAGACAAAAATATTTTTTATTTTTTTACTATGTGTACATAGTGAAAATCAATGACCCCTGGGGGTCGGGCCAATTTTGACCCCAGGGCTATAACTTGTACAATCTTGCTAGAGGTTCACTACATAATGTTTCATGCAAAATATCTTAACTCTAGTCTTTGTAAATTTAAAGAAGATGATTTTTTAAGTTTTTACTTTATACATATAAGGAAAACCTATGGCCCCCGGGGTGGGGCTAATTTTGACACTAGAGGCAAAATTTGAACAACTTTGGTAGAGTTCCTATAGATGATACCAATTAACAAATATTAAAGCTCTAAGCCTTTTACCTTCAGACAATAAGATTTTTTACTATATATGTATTTAAAATCAATGACCCCTGGGGCGGGGGCAATTTTGACACCAGGGCTATAATTCAACAACAATCTTGCTAGAAGTTCACTTCACAATGTTTCATGCAAAATATCTAACCTCTAGCATTTGTCAATTGCTAGAAGAAAGTTTTTACTATAAGTTTTTACTATATACATATAAGGAAAACCAATGACCCCCCGGGTGGGGCCGATTTTGACCCCAGGGCTATAATTTGAACAATCTTGGTAAGGGTCTACCAGACAATGCCTTATGCAAAATATCTTAGCTCTAGGCCTTTTGGGTCTTTACAAGAAGGTATTTTAAGTTTTTACTATATGTACATATAGTGAAAATCAATGACCCCCGGGGCCGGGCCAATTTTGACCCCAGGGCTATAATTTGAACAATCTTGGTAGAGGTCTACCAGACAATGCCTTATGCAAAATATCTAAGCTCTAGACCTTTTCAGTCTTTACAAGAAGGTATTTTAAGTTTTTACTATATGTACATATAGTGAAAATCAATGACCCCCGGGGCGGGGCCGATTTTGACCCCAGGACTATAATTTGAACAATCTTGGTAGAGGTCTACCACACAATGCCTTATGCAAAATATCTAAGCTCTAGGCCTTTTGTGTCTTTACAAGAAGATTTTTTAAATTTATTCATTTAATTCCTTTTGGTTGCCATGGCAACCAGATTTCTGCATGGAATGAAATTCTTTGAACAACTTTGGAACCCCTTCACCCAAGGATCAATCCTGCCAAGTTTAATTGAAATTGGACTAGTGGTTTTTCACAAGAAGATTTTTTAAGTTCACTATATAATCTATATAACACACACACACACAAACAAACAAACACACACACACACACACGCACACACACACAGGTGAATCGCTATATGCCACCGCATCGCAGATGCTGCGGTGGCATAAAAAGAAACAACTTGATGTACCTATAATACATAACTTGATTGGCGGTCACAACCTGTTACAATGTTGTTAAGCCAACGGATGATTCAGAACAACACATGATTCAAGTCAATATAATACGGCAACATCTCTACAGAAAAAGCATATGGCTTAATTACTTTAAATAGCCAAGGTCAATCATGATTCATTCCAGTTATAAATATGGAGTGATTTCATTACACAATCCAAAATTTTAAAGATTATCTCACTTGTCATGCACATTATAATAATAATAGTTACATAATACTGACATAATTACATATCAAAAGATGATAACAGCCTTCAATAAATATCAATATGATATCATTTATTTCACACTTTGACCATGATTTTTATTTTTCGGTCAGATATAGTATCATTTTTTTTTCAAAATTTATTACCATAATGATGCAACATATTAAAACTGATTAAGGTATACAAGTATATATATATATACATCAACAGAATTCCTTCTTCATTTTCAAGAAAGTGATCAGTATGGCTTAATATTGAAAAAAAATAAAGAAAGCCTAAAATATTTTTGCCGGCTAAAACATAATAACACCAGC